CTCCATAATTCTTGAGAACATGAGGAGTGGTAGGAGAACAGAGGGGCAAGTAAATGTTATCTGCATATTCAAAAAAGGGATAGAAAGAAGAGTGAGACAACCAACGAAGAGTCTGTCTGAGAAAAACAAATCAGGCCAGACTGTGTTGTATTTCTAAAAATTAAGTATACTTCCTTGGTGGATCTAAAGAATTGTATGGATGTATTACCTCCTCATGTGGCACATTGTTAAACTATGGAACTCACTGCTACAAGAGGTAGTGATGGGTTCCAGTCCAGATGGCTTTAAAGTGGGATTCTCCAAATTAATGGAGGGTGGGTCTCTTAATGGAACTGTCATACCTCCAGCTCTGCCTGCCATTCTCAGCTCCGTCACCTGTTCTGAGCCCCTCATACTATAAATCACAACAGGCTCCAGACACCATTGACCATGAAGATAAAAATGTGTTGGGTGGTGTCTATGTTGCCCTGAGATCCTCAAAGGAAGTGCACAATAAAAAGACAGTAATTTAAAATATGTGTGAGCTCACAATGTCACAGGGCAACATCTTGTGCAGAGAGCATCAGGTTTGGGGGATCCCCACCACTGAGTGTTGCGTTTCTTAAAGACTGGGCTCAGATAACTGTCCAGCTCCTAAAGAAGTGGGAAGATTTTATGTCAATGAAGGGTGTGCTATTGCAAGTCACAGCTAATGAGCCAAACATGATCACCATTTCAAATGTACAAGACTGAACTGCAAGGAAATTAAGGTGGATAATTTCATTAATAAAAAGCTGAGTGCTGCCTGATTAGCACTCCTACTTTCATCAAGATAAATAAAAATGCATGCTGGCCTGAGCTACTGCTTCATTTAAGGCGCTTCTCTCTGTGCCTAAATGTGGAGCTACCCACTTGAGGTTCGAATCGAAAATCAAAGCACTTTAGTAACTGAGTTATGCTGAAAGGAAGACTGGCAAGAATTAAGGGAGAAAGTCATCGAGCGCCAGTTCAGAATTCAGTCCAGGACTGACATTTCTTTTCGACAAAACAGAGAATTAAATTTGACAGAAGTTGAGAGTTGCTAATTCACCACAAATAGGGATATCTGTGATATTTGGAGTGAAAGAGCGGGAACCTGTAACACCAAATGAGATGGTCTGTCTGATGCTGTAGATTTTTCAGGGTTGGGTAACTTTTGAGGGTTCAGTGCCTGACTTTCCACCCTCACAACCCCTCACGGGCTGCAACAGCTCCTAGAAACATATGTGGAAATGGGGGGGTAGGGGAAGGAGCCACTACAATTTTACTGAATCCTACCTCTGGTTTTGTTTGGGGAAGGGAGAATATTTTGTAGGGCTGAGAGCTGGCATCCCACCTAATACCATTGCTCCTGCAACAAGAACATTCCTTCCTCAACCCTCTGCCCCTCCAGGTGTTCTCTATTGTTTCCAGCCAGTCAAGGAAGGGCATGAAGTCTCATCAAAATCCACAAATCGAATTTTGGCTAAATTCCAATGCATCTCCTTAGCAATACTGGCTGAGGATGATGGGAGCTGAACCTAACCACAGAGCAAAAGGTTGAGGAAATCATGCTCAGGGTTTCCGTTTCTTCAATTCCACCTACTTTTGGAAAATGTCCAGAAGGAAGCTCGCATCATTGGCCACATATAGCCAAAAAAGGCCATTTTTGTTGCCTGAAGCAGGTCTCTTCCTTTATTTACAAGTCCCAAACATTGGTGTTTGGCACTTTGTTGCTCAAGGCAATCCATTCGGTGTTGACGAGTTCATTTGAGAGAGACTGTAACTGTATGGTAT